CTGCACTGAAGCCCAGGCAAGCCTGGAGGTCCATGACAGTGCTAAGCACTGCTCCCCCTTTCTGAAAAGCCCCTTTCTTGCTGTGATGGAGGAAGCCCCAAGATGTAGTCATCTTCCACAATACCCCCCAGCAAGGCCTGTCTGCCTGAGCAGGGCACGGGGTCCCCACAGGGATCGGGCAGCACAGAGCTGTCGGTGCACTGAAGGGCAGCTGCCCTGAACCCCCCTGCCTTTACCAGTGTCTCGTGTTTGTGTGCTGGTTTGGTGCCTGCTCACCACTGTCAGGGGGAATGTGGGAACCCTCGGGTGCAGGTGAAGCATGTTGGTGTCTGATGGGTGGAGGAACAAGGAGGAGCAAGGACCATCCTCCTGTCAGCCAGCTGCATCATCTGCTGGGTTTAAGTATGTAGGAGTAAAGAGCAGGAGGAGGATGTTGCTAATCCGAAGAGTGGAGCCATTGCACAGTGTTATGTGCACACAGCCCTCAGTGACCACTGTGGGCAGGAGATTCCTCAAGATTACTTTTCTCAAGGAGGTGGCATTACCTTCGCCTCGAGCCTGCAGAATGTGCCACCAAACATTACCAAGGATCAGCCACGTGCTCTGAGTACATGCACTCACAGGATAGCGTGCCCACACCTGCTTGGTACCTTAGGTGCGATGCGCCCCTCCATGGAGGCAACAATGTCCTGCCCATCAAACAGCCTGCCCCAGCCCCTTTGAATTTCAGTGCCCTGCTCCTCTTCTGTTCGGGTGTATTGCATTTATGTCTGGTGGTGAGTGAGCCTATCCATCACTGTATCCACACAGATCCCAATTACTCCTTTTGACAGCTCTTATTCACAACACCTCCCTGTGCCTCTGATGTCTCAATTATTGATGGGGCTTGCCTGGTAGGCAGCACTCTGTTCTCAGCATGGCTACGTTCCAGGTCCCTTTCCCATCGAGTTCATGCACACACCATGCCGAGCGTTTCTTTATGTGCAAAGCTATTGAAGTGGAAAGGGATCTTTATTAGCATGTGAGCTCCAGGGCTGTGCAACCAAAGGGGGCAGTGCAAGCCAAATCGCACTGCAGTACAGTGCTGGGAAATTTCCTCTCCCCCTCCTCTCCCAGTGAAGCCCAGCAGTGTCTTGTAAAATTAAATTATCTCATATGCTTAATGGTGAAGATCCCTTGATCTGATGAGCCTTCCTTGTGATGGGGTCACCCTGCACTTGCATTTCTGTAAGAAACCTCAGTCCTTCATTGCCCCTGCAGGCATAAAATGTAGTATTTTGAAGGGCAGTGCCCTTTCCTTTGTCTTGGTATTAGTTTGTTTGCTGGCTTTACAGTAAGCCTTTGCATTCTGACAAGAAACACTGACACGCAAAAAAAGGAGCTTCAAAGCAGCACGTGGTGTTGGAGCAATGTTGTCAAATTGGTTAAGAGTTAAAGCTGTGCCTCGAGGGACGATTGCAAAAGCCTGCTTGTTGTGTAGGGCTCTGGATGTCTCGTGACATTGCTGTAGCAGAAGTAAGAGGAATGATAAAGTGGTCGATCAGCTCCTGACATCTCTCCTGCCCCCAGCCTTGCCCTGCAACCTTCTTGAATTTAGAAGTAGCCAGAGGTTTTGTGCTTAGTGAATGAAGGGAACAGGAAAGGGCAGCTGCTGGAGAAGGTAGGACCAGAGAGAAGCAGCAGTGCAGGGTATGCAGAGAGCTGGGAAACAGCACTTCAGGTTTGCTCTCCGAGATCTGTGGCAGAGGGTGCCTCTGAGATTAGCTTTAGCATAAGAGGGAAAATCTGTGAAGCAGGGCTTCCAAAGCACTGAGATGCCGGAGAGCATAATGTTTCGCAGCTGAGTACAGCCCTGCAGAAGTGGTCACGCGTCCGTGGGTGGTCAGTGGAGCACTCCTGGGGCTCCAACGGCAGCTACATGAGATAGAGTGGATGTGGACACCCTTTTAAGCTTAGTAGGAAGCTTACGGTCTCTGCATCCCAGTGTGCCTCCTGGCAGCGTTCAGCTCGTCCTTCTCAGCCTGCCTTACCAGTTTTGCCTGGGGCCTCCAGCTGCACAGCCAGAGCTTGGCTGTTCACTCGGGATCTGTAAGGACTTCTGGCCTGGGCGACAACCACAGGTCCCCTCTTCCCCCTCCTGGCTGACCATGACAGTGCATCAGCAGGGCAGCTCTGCAGAAGAAGGGGTTTGTGCATCAGTGACAGCACAGCTGCCTTGAGCTATGGGCTCTGGGACAGACCTGTAGTTACACATCTCTCCGTGTGACAGCCTGACCCTGACATTTCTCTGAGAGGGGTCCTTTTATCACTGTGGATGACAGCAGCATCCTTTTGCCTGACAGTATTGCCCCAGATGGTCAAGCTGTGTATAGCCCCTGTTACACAGGCCTTGCTGGCACTGGTGGGTAGCAGAGATGGCTGAGCCTGCCAAGCAGGGTGTGTTTTATTTGTCTGGAATACCATAAGCAGTCAAAGAAGGGTTAAAATAACAGAAAGTTGAAAGCATGTTATCTTTGGGAACTGTGATCCTTCCTTTTTGGGTAGGTGGGTTCCATGGGACCCTGTCCCCCCAGATAGCGGAAAGTTCACTCTCCCATACCTGATTGCCCTACAGCTTTCCCCAGCAGCCTGTCCAAACAAGGCTGTTTTCCTTCCCAGCCCTTTTCCTTCCTTCCGTTGCCCTGGTCTTTTCTCCTTGCACAGCGCTGGCTCCAGCCCTGGGTGGTGCTGGGGTCCCAGAGCCCAGGTGAGCTGTAACCAGAGATGCTCAGTTACTGCAAGTCCAAAACCCGCTTAGCTGAGAGCTGCAAACAAGAGACTCAGGCACTTCTGAGTTTGTCCTGATCAGAATTACTGTTGAAAGTGACCAAAGCCACACTTTTGCCCAATTTTGCACTTTCTTCCTTGTTTCTTTAGTAATTCCACAATGCGGTGCCTGTTCCTGAAAGCATTGGACCAGGTGGAGCTGTGCCTAAGATAACTGCTGTCCCTTTTGTCTCAGAGGTGCTTCCTGATATTCTAGCAGGAAAGCTTTGAAAAACCTGGCCCAGAAAAATGTCTTTGGGCAGTTTCCAGTTCCTCCTTCAGTTCCCCAGACCAGGACATCTCACTTGGGAGGATCCTGATTATGGACCACATATGGCCAGCAAGGAGATCGCTTGTCTCCCTTGAGGAGGTTGTTTGTTCCTTGCTGACCTCCTGCTCCTGTGGGGTAGCTGCCATGTGCCATTGTAGCATCTGGAGAGGCTGGAGCCACAGCCGGTGCTTCGTGGATCTCAGCCAGAAGAAGCATCCCCAGCCAGCTCTGCTAGTCCTGCCTTAGACACTGGTCGCCAAAGTGAACATGAGTAACCTGCAAGGCTGGAGTAAGATCAGAGCTTGCAGGAAGGGGCTGTTGTGGAGAACATAAGAGGTTGCTGTCTGGACAGCGGTGTGAATTGTGATACATGTACCATGGACACATGCAAGCACGGACACTGTTACATGCTGTTTCAGGAGCGTGTTTCCAAATGGCTTACAGAGTCAGGGGCATAGAAGTCAAGGGAGATCAGCTGGATTTGACCTCAGCCTGGTACTCAGTTCTTAACTTGGTATCCAAGATGGGAATTTTTTGATGATTTCATGGTATGCAGTTTTATTTGGGTCAGTGAGAGCACAACGTATGACTTTGCTACCCTTTAGGGATGGGAAAATCAGTGCACCATCTAAAGATTCAGTGCACGGGGTTTCTTAACAGCCTGCGGGAGAAAGATGTTTTAATTCTGTTTTCATTCCTGAATAAGCCATTAATTTGAGTTAGCAATTTCCTTGGAGCCCAGAGGAGAGGAGTCTGTGATCAAATGAAGTGGCTCAACACTGCTCTCTCCTCCTCTCCCTGTTTAAAAGGGTTGGGCTCATCATAACAAACCTCCTTTGACTTTTAGCCCTTGTAATGGTCTTCCCAGATGGTTTCAGGAGTCCTGCATGATCCAGCAGTGGTAACAGCCCCGCTGTTAGTAATCTCTGTGACCCCAAAAGAGCCAAAGTTCTCAGTGCATAAAGATGGCAGCTACCTCCTCTGAGGGATGCTGGCCTCTTACCCACCTTGCTGACCCCTGGTCAGGGTCTGCAGCCCTTTTGCAGAGCAGGGGGCCTGTACCTTGTGGCTGTGGGAGCTGGTGGGACACTGGTCTCAAGGACAGCAGCCTCCTCCTGGGGAATGAGGGCCTGCTTGGATGTGCAAGGCTGTTGCAGGGCTCACTCCCATGCTTTTTTCTAGGCAATTCAGTGTATAAAATCACTGAAGACATTTTCAGCAAAAAAAAAGTCTCCTTGAAGAACTGTTCTGTTGCTTGTTGAAAGAGGATTCATTTTTCCCCCTTAAATAAAATGAGCCGTGTTTGAAATCTGAAAGCCCTTGCCGAACGCCTTCTTGGAGCTGCAAAGAAAGCATCTTCCAGGTCACATCATAGCCTCCTGCCGGACACAGATCCAAACTGCAAACCCTTCTAACAGCTCTTTAATAACTCTGCACAGAAGGAAAAATCTGTCACCTTTCCCTCTGTGGTTTCTCTTCTGTTCTAATGCACTGGAGAAATGAGATGGAGCCGGGAAAGTTTTCAGAGAAAGACTCGTGGGAACTACAGCTGCCGATGGAGAAGGCTCATTTCTTTAGTGTCTGAGGGGAACCGCAATCGCTTTGGTGAAGGGTGGTGTGTGTGGGTGGGTTTGGAGGGGTGAACCGTTATGACCCATGCATTTCAGAAGAACCACAAACACTTTATAGTAACAAAGGGTGGAAAAAGCGAGAGGTTTCTGCAATGCATGTGACTTTTCCCTGAGGTTTGGAACCCTGCGGTATGTTCCAGGCCACGGTGTTTGCGTGTCAGTCTTGGTGAGTTAAGCTTTCTCCCACAAGCCTCGCTTGAAGTTGGTGTGATGACTGAGAGCCTAAAATGTTGTTTTGTTTTGTTTTTTTCTCTCTCTCTCTGTTTTCATTCTCCCCCACCTCCTCTCTGCAGTTGAAGCTCTCGTTTACCTTGGACCGGGAGAGTGGGATGCCTCAAGGCTGTTATATCTATCAATACCGCGACAGCAACAAGTAAGTCCTGCGGAAGATTGCATGCAGCAGATAGGAGAAGGTGCATTGAAAGGAGGCTGCCCTGCCCTCTGGCAGAGGGATCACAACTGCTTGTACCACTTAAAAAGTAGATTAAAGTAGGCTTCAGGCTTAATCTGAAACTGGGAAGAGGTCTTGTAAAGGCCGGATCCTTTGAAATACACAATGCCCTGCAGCCCCTTTTTTTTTCTGCAGCATTTAAAAGCTGCTTTTATTTGACTAAAAAGGCCAGGTCTTGGGTATCACAGGCTCTGCCAGAACTCACCCAGGATTTGCCCAGGGGTGTTTGCAACTCAGACCTTGCACTTGCTTTGTGCTGGGGTGACTCTGAGAGTGTGGGCTGGGGATAAGCATCCAAAGGCTGCAGAGCATCAAAGAGGGCAGTCCTCACCTCTACTCAGCTACAGACACACAGCACTTCATTCTCTTTGCTAAAACTCATGCGTGGGTTCACTGAGTGGCCTTTCATTTGTGGTACTGTAGCTTCAGTGCAGCCACGCGCTCTGTTTTTATAAGGTACCATATGATATTCAAGCTTTGGATGTGTTTGGAGCACAGAGTCCTCAATTTCTAGGTATTCTGCCTATTTTTACTAGCTGCTGTAGTGAATTGGCACCCAAGATGTTTTTATTTCAAATCACATTCTCATTATCAAATTGACAGCAGCAGCACAGTTCAGGATATTTCTGTGTTCGCGTTGGGTTACTTAGTCATAAATCCATAGCCTGTTACCTCCACCCATATAGTTCTGCTTCTTGCCAGTTGTTGAAGGTTAACCTAAAAAAGGAGGGTATACGAAATTGTCAATGAATGGAACAGCCTGTATTAGATCTGCTCTGAAATGCTGATGAGAACAGTCCTGACAAGAAGAGGGCCCTCCACAAACAGCACCTATGTCATTCTAAGCTGAGAAATCTCAGTGTTTAAACAAGAAGGGAGATAATTTCTGGGAGAATCCTTCCCACCTGTGGATGGGCGATTAGCAGGTGGTACACAGTCCCACCCCAGTTATCCCAGCCCCAGAGGCACGGATGAGCAGAGGAGGTCCCCCCAGCACCACTAGGCTAACAGGGAAACGTGCAGTTCAGCGCCAAAGCATAAAAGCAACAAGGGAAGAGTGTTTGTTTTTGAGGGTTTTAAAGGCGATGGTACACAATGGACAGCGAGGAAAAGAAAACCCGCAGACCTATTGGGTTTGTTAAGGATGTTTATAGATTCAGTGTTTCTAATTGTATGACGTATATCTCAAGTATCAGCAGCCGTGTTTTCTTCTGCCTCCTCTCCCGGGCTCCAATGGGTGTTTTGTGCTATTGTTTGAGGAAACTCCAGGGACAGGAGTGGAGCTATTTTGTTTAAGCGCTAAGGCCAATAGCAGTTCCGCCTGGAAACTTCACTTTTAGCTGTGAGTGGTCCAGCATGTGACAAAGTAGCTGCGGCATGTTGGCAGCTGTTGCTTTAGAGATGTATGGCTGTGACCTGTGTTTCTGGCAAGCGTGGGAGCTGAGCCACCCCGAGCCATGCCAGCCGGGATCATGGATTGGAAAATACGGTACGGGCAGGATGAGTGCGACTGCAAGTAAACCCAGACTTTGTGCATGTCTGACAGATCTGAACTGCAATTATACCTCCCTGCACGACCCCATGCTTTGTATTTTATAGCTTACTTGATCAACCTGGAGGAGAGCAGGATCCCATTTCCCAGGGAGAGCCTCTCTAAGTTGTGCACACACTTGTCCCCCTAAACCCTGTGCATGCAGCCCAGCGCCTCTGACAATCCCTGGTCAGTGAACTGCAGTGTGAAGGTCTGTGCTATGGCTGATGTATTCTTGCAGGTAAAGTGCCCTTGAGCCAAATGCATGCTCGGTTCTGGTTGTACCCTGCGTGATGTTGGAGGAGCTCACATGTGCTGCAGCTTTATTGGCAACAGAACATTGTATTTGAATAGTGTAGTGAAGCACTGGACGTGCTCCTGCTCAGCCCAGCAGAGACTGTACTTCTCAAGCACTGGGCCTTTCATAGGGTTAATTTGTTATCTATACAATAGCATGGCAGTTGTCATAATTTTTCCTTAGCAATTTCCCAGGGTAAATTGTAGGCCTTGTGTTCTCCCGAGCCTAGTCAGGCTTTGACGATACTCATTGGGACCCAAGGGGATAGATAACAGCTCTTCTGCATCTTTCTAAAGATGTATCTAGAAGTTAAAGCAGCATAACGTTTCTGTCTGCACCATGTTTTGGAACTGCTTACAGCCCAGAGAAGAAATGCTGGTGACATGCTGCAAGCTCATGCATGGGAAGGACTGGAAACGTGCATCCTGGAGCCCATCATCCTGGGCAGAGCGTTGGGGCTGGGACCTGTGCTGGGAACAGACTTATGGCAGGAGCAGAAGTGTCTGGAGCTCTCGAGCAGCAGCTTTAACGGGAGGAAGCTGAGGTGATCCTGGATGATGGGCACCCATTCTGGCCTGGGGTGTGTGCCCAGTGCCCCGGAGATCTCTGTGAGCAGGGCTCTGCATGGAAAGGCTCAGTGTCACCCTGGTCACTGGAGGAGTGTCCCTTCCTCTCCAAGTGGCAAATGCTGTTCCAAGCTGCAGCCAGACGGGGCCACCGGAGAACAGCGGATATTGGCCTCCCACTTGCAGAACAAAGGACTGCAGCATTGCTGAAAAGTGTAATTACCAGAGCAATTAAAATTTCTATTGCTTAGGCTAGAAGTGCAAGTACCATGCAGGCTCTTACAAGGGCGATCAATTGGAATTTGTTCCTTCTAAAATGATAAAACCCTGCCAAGGAATTTTTGCCCACTCCTGGCAGCTTCCCCTCACCTGCCTGCCTGCCTGCCTGCACCAGCATTCACAGTCACAACACTCGCCAGGTGCCCACTCTGCTGTTGCACCCTGAGTGCCAGACACTTTGGGGAGACCAGCCTCAGTCTTGGGAGCCTTGGATTGAACGGAGGAGAGGAGATGAGCAGCCAGCTGCTCATCCCTCCACCCCCTGCTATAATATAGTGGTATCCGAGGGCACTTGGCAGTCCCAGTAGCCTTCCAAGTGCTGTACTTGGAGCCATATGGAGGAGAGAGGCTGTCACTGCCCCTGTGGTCACAGGGGTGAGACCAGTGGACATCACTTCTTTCCTTTTTCCCTGCTCAGACCCAGACACTTTCCTGCCCTTGGCTGCCAGTCCTTCCCAGCCTTTCATTGACTTCCTAAGCTCAGAGGACATGACTTGAAAGCAAGCAGTCTACTTTCTAATTTTTAACCCATGTTTACTTAAATTCTCCCTAGTGGGGATCAGTCAGTGTCATCGACAGAACACCAGGCAGCGGCACTGGGCTCTGCAGGATGGCTGTCCTGTGACGGGAGCGCTGTGTGTGACACGGGGACTGCGGTGATGTGTGCTGGGTGACATTCAGAACAGGAGCATATTGTCAGCCTTCACGTGGCCACAGAGCAGTCCCGTCCAGGAGAGGACAGCTCTGCCAACCGTCCCGAGGTGTCACTGCAGCACGAGTCAGGGGTTGAGGGTGGGGCTGGCTTTCTGCCACTGCCTCTGCGCAAGCTGAGTTTCTCTGGTCCTGCACAGGGTCCAATTGCAAAACCCAGCCAGGCAGTAAAAGACCATGGAGGCCATTCATACCCACCATGGCTCATGAATCCCATGTTACAACACGCACTCACTGGTCCCCGGTCTAGGAATATGATACCAGCTGTGCTGGGGAAGTGCCGGCTGCCTGCTCTGACGGCTGGTCCTACTCTAGAGGGCTGCCAGGCAGCGGGAGGGGTGAGATCAATAAAGGTTACAGATGATCGTGGAAGACTTATTGCAGCCTGTGTGCAGGAAGAGCCAAAGCCAACTTGAGATCCCTCTGGAAGAAAGTAATTGCAAGAAGTTTAGTATCTTTTGGCCGTAACCAAGAAATAGAAGATTCAGTCTGTTTTCTGCATTCACTATCACTATCCAGATAGTTCTCTGGAGACCTCCTTGGTTCTGCTCACCTCCCCACAGCAAGTCTGGCCCTTCAAATGCCTTTGTCTTCCATTCCAGTACTTTCTGATTACTGTCACCTTTCTCAGATGATGCAGTGCTCAGTGTTCCTGCCATCCCAGACCCGACAAGGAGCCATAAATCCCTGTCAAGATCCATCCTTGTATGTGGGCCATATTTGCATGGCATTGTGATGCTTCCTTGTCCCCGAGGTTCTCCTCTAACATGGTTTTCCTGCTCTCTTAGCCTCCAGGTATTGGTTTCCTGTTGAGGTCCCTTCCTCACATCACAGACACCGCCTTTACCTATAGACCAGCTTGCAGCTCACCGATGAATTGCCTTTTAATTCGTTGCTGCAGCTGGGGTTTGTGTCAGGATTATGAATTTGTAGTGGGGGCTTTCATGTTCTCCTCAGAGTAATTTCTAAACCCAGAGGAACAACATCTTGCATGGAAGCACTTAGAGACCTCTTTACAAAAGCAGCGTTGGAGTATTGATCATTTTTTCTCTCCGGGGACCCGGAGTGCTACAGATAGAGCTGCTGTGCAGTGTAGCCACTTGCGGGCAGCACCACACAGCTCTTCAGGATGAGAAGTGAAAAATAGCTTCAGTTGAAAGGAAAAGTGGTGCCCCCTTTTATATAGAGATCAATGATGCCTGGTACATTGGATTATCACTTAAAACACCAGGACTTCAAATGCCAGGGTGCATGCACTCCCAATGCTGACAGGCTCGTGATATATAATGCTGTTTGGGTTACCAACTGAGCTCCTCTGTGCAATCTTTTCATAAGGTGAATGTAATATCTGCAGTGATGTACCCAACGTTACATCAGGAGAGCCAGCCTATAATTATGCTTGAATTGTTTGAACGGGTTATTTGTCACTAACACATTAGCTCACTCCATTTATTGCTACCATTCAGGGCTGCAGCAGGTTTGGTGTAAACAGAGCCTGGGTGGAGGTTTCAGGGGGTTATTTTTCTGAATCGAGCAA